ATTTCTTCCACTCCACTTTGTGAAATGCACAGAGGACTTGCATAGGAAGCTCTTGTTTGTATGAGATACAGAAACCTCATCTACACTGCTGGTAATGCAGTTTGAAACTGCATTATATGGTCAGTGTAGCTGAACTGCATGACATGCATCTACACTAATCATCTAACACAGTTTCAGACTGCATTAGATGGCACTGTAGATGGGGTCAGAGAAGGTATGAAATTGGGGTGAGAAAGAAGAGACTGCTCACAGAAGATCACACTTTTTCTTACATGTTGGAAAGAAAACTATGCTCTCTTAACGTGTCAGATATCCTGCTAGAGGAAAGATGACATTTGCGCCTGCAAGCTGAGTTTGGGTTTAGCAATTCCTGTCATGTGCAGCCTATCCTACGACTTAACCTTATGAAGAATGTTGTAGTACAGGTAAGGACTATGCCACTTTGAGACTGCAGGTGGAGCGATCCTATTTTTAAACACTCCCTCCCACACGTTTTAAAACAGCAACACAAGTCATTCCATGAAATAAACCAGTGCATGAAGTAGGATTGATTGGCAAGGCCTTCTCCTTGGCATGCCCGTTTTATAATATGCAGGAACCTTCTGTGTATTGTATACTGTGGGGATGAGTGGGTGGGTGTTTACCCCAAATATAACAGTTTCAACCAGTGAAACTGAATGGTACAATTGAGAAGCCTATTGTCTCCATTTGTGAAAGGTCCCAACATTGTCTGCCAGTATAATTTGAGCTCCTAGATTTACAAAGTGGCATTAGAATACTTTTAGATATGGAAAGCAGGCATTGTATTTAACACCAACACATGTTACAACAGTGCTGAAATGTTTGGGGGATTACAGAGTCTACAGAAGGAACAAAATAGCTTTGTGGTTGAGCAGTAAGCAAGATCTATTACAGTTGTGTTTTTTAAAACCTAGCAATGCACAATGCAGTAAGTATCTGTCTTTTTGCTACTATATTGCAGGCTTAATATCTCATCATAATACACATTACCTTTGCTTCCACGTCTCCTATGTTGCAAGCAGTGACTTTCCCCAAGGGTCTGAATGGCTCAATGCTAGGGAATTGTGGGAGTTGTAGCTGTTACAAGTTCTTGCATCTTCTATACTAAAGAGTGCTGGTATCTCACCAAACTACAACTCCCTGGATCCAAAGCATTGAGTTGTGGACGTAAAGTGGTGTCAAACTGCATTCATCTGGCATTGTTTACATGAAGACTATCATCCCCACCCCCCAAGCAAGTCAAAGATACACTAGGGCAGGTGTTTTGGACTTCAACTCCCACAATTTCTAACAGCCTCAGGCCCCTTCCTTTCCCCGCTAGGCCCCAAGCAAGTCAAAGATGCACTAGAGCAGGTGTTTTGGACTTCAACTCCCACAATTTCTAACAGCCTCAGGCCCCTTCCTTTTCCCGCTAGGCCTGAGGCTGTTAGGAATTGTGGGAGTTGAAGTCCAAAACACCAGGAGGACCAAAGTTTGCCCATGCCTGGTTTATCCAATACAATTTTTCTGAATCACCACCCTAAACAGGCTTAAAATAGGAACAGGCTTAAAAACAAGACGCAAAGTTGAAGTCCAAAACATCTGGTGGGACGGAGTTTGCCCAAGCCTGTCCTAAGGGCTGATTTTGCTACAAGGATTTTTGTAGAGAAGGAACTTTTGCATGTCTTGAGGCATACCACTGAAACGGAAATACTTGCACTGTAGAAGAGATATACACACACATACATATATCAGCTGAAAAGCAGCCTCCAGCCAAGTCCCTGTAAATGATGTGACATGGAAAGACGGACAGTTATATATGGTGAAATATAAGCTTGGCTATTTTAAGGTGTGCTTAGTATCCTTGATGAGGCATCTATGGCTGGGCTATGTGTGTTATGTAGCAAAACTGGCCTAACTTGTAAAAATTATACCATTGATCCAAATAGTTCAGGATTGTGCCCTGCCCAGTCCTCTCTCTCTCTCTCCCCCACTCCCTCCCCTTCATTTTGCTAGACTTGATAGCTGATGGAATTCAACCCCAAGCTGCCCAAGTCTCAAATCCCCAATGAGGAGCAGTTAGTTCAGTATAGACTAAGAGTTTCCCTTCCCCCATGTCTCCTGTATGACAATTGGGTTTCTCCTCTCTTCTCTCTGTCTGCTCTCATTCTGATTAGTTGTTTGAAATGGATACTTTTCTACTGCAAGCTTTTTGAATCTGAGTATGTGCTGTGTGCTTTGAGATCTCTCTCTGCTTGTTTCAGGAGCAATGTAGTGATTGAGTTTTTTTCCCTTCTCTTGAAACTTAAGGAGAGATGGGTGTTACAGTAGCTCAGATCCAGTTCTTTACTCAGAAGAAATGTAGTTATTTCTTATTATTGTAAATAAACATTTTGTGATTTTTTTAAAAGATTGGACTCTGCACGTTTGCCTCCTAAGTTCTTAATTCTTTACAGCCACATCACATGGCACCTTCACACTCGGCTCGCTAATGAGCTGATGCTCAACTTTTGTATCCTGTTTGTTTTGGGATGCTCAGCTCAGCTGCTATATTTTTAGAGTAGTTTTCCCTAATAGGGAGCTATTTCAGAAAAAGGCTCTACTACAGGCTGAGCTAAACCCATTAACTCTCTAACTAGGGCAATAGCAAATATGCACTCTCAGTTGGTTGTTAAATATATCTCCAAAAAGAGCAGCTTTTCATCTTTTATTGGTAAGCTTAGGAGGTACAGATCTGTTATGCAAACAAAAGTTCTCTCTCCCCATCCCCAAATAAAACAGGAAAGGGAGAAGACAAACCTAAGCCACTAATTAATGGATTTGTTTGTCTTTTTGATGGGCAAAGGTGGACACTTCACCTTCTGCTACCACCCACAACAGTTTTCAGAGAGGTCCAGGCAAGAAATGGGTTCAGTCCTCTCCTTCTTAGAAGGGGATTTTGTTTGTTGGGAAGCCCAAGCACCTCTGCTAATAGTGGCAGCCGCTGCATATCCTGGAGCAGCTCTGGAAAGAAGAGCTCCAGACTGTAAATCTTTCAGACCCAGATCTGTATCCAGAAATATTTATGTAACACACATGTTGCCAAAAGGGAGCAATTTTAAGCATTTAAACAATGGTTTGATTTGCTGATGTATCTGCGTCTCTGCCCTGATCCTATAAAACACTTTTAAATGTTGTCAACTATCTCTCTTTCTGTGCTGCGTGTCAATATCATTAATGCAATTGGAAATGCTGCAAGAGACTAGACGAGATACGGGCAAATTTTGGCCGTCCAGGTGTTTTGGACTTCAACTCCCACCATTCCTCACAGCCTCAAGCCCCTTCCTTTTCCCCCTCAGCCACTTAAGCGGCTGAGGGGGAAAAGGAAGGGGCCTGAGGCTGTGAGGAATGGTGGGAGTTGAAGTCCAAAACACCTGGACGGCCAAAGTTTGCTCATGCCTGGACTAGACGAAGCTTCCAGCTTCACACAGCTACTTTTATACAGAGCTTCAGAAAGTTCCCTTTGGGGATAACAGTTGCCAGAATACTATAAAGCAGCCACACAAGGTGGAGGAGTGTGTTCAGGGAATTGTAGTTTATTCAAAAGTTCTGGTTAGTTGACATCTGGATCCTATCTCGGTTTGTCCTTCTATGAAATGTGTGGGAAGGAACTTATGTTATTTTTCTTCTCAGCATTTTATCTTTCCCCCAACTCAACTAAATCAGCGGTATTTGGATTAAGACTACAAGTCTAGCACCATGTTTTCCTAGAAGGAAATCCCGCTGAACAGAAGGAGACTTACTTTTCAAGTCAGAATAACAATGGTTGCATTGCATTTATTTGTGTCCCAATAATTTAAAATAATAAGGGTTAGCTCAACAGTGGGTGGGGTTGTTTGTGTATCAGATCTATAGACAGTTAATGGGGCATGTAGTGTGTGTTTTTTGCCCACTCGGCTCAAATAAGGCTCCCCGAACAGCAACATTGACTTTAAGGGAGATAAGACTGACAGGCATGCACATGTCTCGTCTAGTCTCTTGCAGCTTTTACAATTGCATTCATGATATTGACATGCAGCGCAGAAAGAGAGGAGTTCAAACGTGCTTCTTTCTAGTTCTCAGAAAAGTTACTGTTTGGTACTGCAGTACCCAAAATCCCCAGTTAGTAAAGCCAGACAATGTTGTAGCCTGTAGTCCGAAAAAACTCTGCTCTTTTTACAAGTTACTTATCTGAGAAGGGCCACAGTTAGAAATAAGGCTAAGCTAGCAATGGTAATTGTAGGCTGTGTTAGACATTATGGGACTGCAATTCCCATCAGGCCCTGCTGCAAACTGCTGTCCAACACCTGTCCAACATCTAGGACAGGCATGGGCAAGCTTTGGCCCTCCAGGTGTTTTGGACTTCAACTCTTACAATTCCTAACAGCCAGTAGGCTGTTAGGAATTGTGGGAGTTGAAGTCCAAAACACCTGGAGGACCAAAGCTTGCCCATGCCTGTCCTAGAAGGTCACTGGGAGTTATTTCTACAGGAGAGACACTGAAATGCTTTGTTGTGTGCTTTCAAGTACTTTCCAACTTATGACAACTCTATCACAGGCTTTCTGGGGCTGAGTGTGTGTTTCCATGCAGCAGAACCACTGAAATGAACCACACCTGCTATTTGCTAACTCAATTCCTATCGATTTCAGTGGGTTTACTCTAGATAGTCCTGCGACTGGATTCTGCCTGGTGTCCAAGAGGAAGTCTGAGAGAGAAAGAGCTTATTTTAGTTTCTAAAGGGCAAAAAAAATACAGATGACATGTCTGAAAATCACAAGGGGCCCTCCCTTTCCAACCCACCGAGTCAGTCTGGACTTTTCCCCATTCGAAGGAGGAAACTCCAACACAGCAATAGTAAGGGAAGAGACTGCTTCTTGGCAGGGGGTTGGACTGCATGGCCCATGAGGTCTCTTCTAACTTGATGATTCTATGAGATGGGGAAGGAAAGGGCATGGCTTCGGTTAAGCCTGGTGCTTACTTACCACAAGAGGGATGGAGCAGATGAGCACCACCAAGGAGGTGGCAATGAGCAAGATGACCATCTGGATCTCTGCCCCAGCCATGCGCCGAAAGCTGCGTCGGCGCCGAAAGTCCGAGAGGCGGTTGGAGGCCTGGTCAGTGCCCAGCGAGGTGCGGCGCATGAACTGGCGGTGCATACGGATCAAGGCAGCGCAGACCAAAACGTTGGAGACCACGGTGACCAGGATGAGGAAGGAGCTGAAGCCGGCGTACATGTAGGAGTAGGCGGCATGGGAAGAGATGTTGGTCCTCCAGTCGATGAAGCACCAGGTCTGCGGGTACTGGAGCTTGGTGCTGCCCAGGCCCATGCTGGGCAGGGCACAGAAGAGGACATTGGAGACGTAGATGGCAAAGAGGGTGAGGGCAGCCAGCTTCTTGTCCACGTAGTGGCTGTAGAAGTAGGCGTGGTTGATGGCCAGGTAGCGCTCGATGGACATGGCGCAGATGATGCTGAGCCCAGAGAGGCCAAAGAAGAGGAGGATGAAGGTGCTGTACTCACAGAGCGGTTGTCCTCCGGGCCACTCGTTCTTCAAGTAGGTGGCGATGGTGACGGGGCTCACCAGGCAGGTGCCTAACAAGTCAGTGACGGCCAGGCCACAGACCAGTGTGTAGAAAGTGGTCTCCTTCTGCTCCTTGCGGGACTTACACAGCACAACGATGGCCACCAGGTTGCCCACCACACCAAAGATGAACATCACCGTAGGGATGGTCAAGGCCTTGCTGTTGTCCGCAGGGTGGGTCACAGGGAGGGTCCCATTGCCCAAGGGGAGGAACGAGCCATTGAAAGACATGGTGAGACTGTCCACAACAGAGCTGCTCTCCTTTTGAAAAAAAGTAAACAGAGCTTGGGTTTGTACCTCCTTTTTCCACCAAATCCTGGGCGTGAAAAGTCAATGTGAAGACCAGGACAGGCAAGGAAGGAAATCAAAGCTGGGAGGAGAAATCCAAGAGAGCATTGCAAAACAAGTTTAGGGGAGAGCTAGGAGAGTGCAACCCAAAGCAACTCAACACAAACTGAACTCACACCAGCCCAACCTGCCTGAGCTTTGCTTAAAGGGTTTCTCCCAAGGTTTACAACTTTCTCAAAGTCCTTTGGAGTCCCTGCTTGGACTTCCCATTCCTTGTCTTCTTCTCGGTCCAGAAAAACCAGTTCTTGTTCTATTCTCCTGGTCCCAGGCGAGAAAAAATGAAAGCGAACCAATGCTTGTCTCCTTTCAAAGGTTTTGCCAGGTGGCCACTCCTTTTCCTTGGCTTTCCTTGGCAAGGGAGGTCCTCCAGGAGAGCATCTCCCTTTGCAACCACCCCTTTGCTTCCCTTTCCGAGGGGCAGCCTGGATCAAAGAAGGCAAACTGGAGCAAGGAAGGCGTTGGTAGAGGAAGAAGAGAGTAGCCGGGGCTCCTGCTCTTGCTCCACGCGCTCCTCTCCCTTCGCAGGCGCCTCGCTCACTCCTTCGCGCGCTCCTTGGACACTTCGCTCCTTCAACTTTTCCCGGGCTTGGCCCCGCCCACTCTCGCCCCTGATTGGTCCAGACCTTACAAGGGGCGGAGTCGGGCTCTCACCCTCTGGCTTGACACCCACCGCTTCCCTTCCAGTCAGTGCTGCTCCCTGGCTCAGGGAAAGGAGCAGCAGCAGCAGCTCTCCGGCTTCTAACGTGTGAAGGGAGGACACGCGTCAGGGACTAACGGGGAAAAGAAAGAGGGGGGAGGTTAAGGGAAAGGTATTGTGGGGATGGCTCCTGGAGCTTACAATATTTTTTCCAGGGGAAACGGAACGTGTGAAAGGTATTCACGCATCATGGTGCAAAGGGATAAGGAAAAGGAGATTTGCGAGCATGGAGCTTAGAAAATGGGATAGTTGAGAAACTAAATGCATCATGGCCCAAAGAAAAGGGGGAAAGGAATGGGTCTTGTGGGCATCTATCCCAGAACAACCATTTTTCCCCAATGAATCCATTTATTAGGGGTGATTTCCAATTCTCTCACAACTGGAGCTCCTGACACGACAAAAAAGGGGTGATTTCAGGGACCCAAGAAGGGAAGGGAAAGGAGGGAGGAAGGAAGGAGAAAGGAAGAAAGGAGGAGGAGGGAGGAAAGAGGAGGGAAGGAGGGAAGAAAGAAAGGAGGGAAGAAGAAGGGAAATGGAAGGAAAGAAAAAGGAGAAGGAAAGGAAGGAAAGAAAGAGGAGGAGGAAGGAAGAAGAAAGGAAGGAAGGGAAAGGAGAAGGAAGAAAGAAAGGGGGGGGAAGAAAGGAAAGAAAAAAGGAGGGAAGAAAGGGAAGAGGAAGGAGAAAAGGAAGGAAAAGAAGGAGGGAAGAAAAAAGGAAGGAAGGAAGGAGAAAAAAGGAGGGAAAAGGAAGCAAGGAAGGAAAGAAAGGAAGGAAGGAGAAAGGAAGGAAGAAAGAAGGTATGAGGGAAGAAAGGAAGGAAGCAAAGATGGAGTGAGGGAAGGAGGAAGAAAGGAAAGAAAGGAGGGAAGAAAGGAAAAAAGAAAGAAAGTCTGTCTTATGGGTATAAATCATGGAATGTGTGGATTTGGAGCTCTGGGGAAAATTGAGCAGAAAGCCCAGAAGCACAATGAAGTTAACCAATGTGCAGTGAATTCAGAATATAAACCAGAATCTCAATCAATGGCTGATACCAAATGAGAGACTACCACCTGGTCACACAGAAGACTGGGTGACTTGGAAGGTGCTGAACAGACTGCATTCTGGCACAATGAGATGCAGAACCAACCTTAAGAAATGAGGCCACAAAGTGGAATCCATAACATGCGAGTGCAGAGAAGAGCAAACCGCAGACCACCTACTACAATGCAACCTGAGCCCTACCACACGCACAATGGAGGACCTTCTTACAGCAACACCAGAGGTTCTCCAAGTGGCCAGATACTGGTCAAAGGACATTTAATAGAATGCCAAGTTTACAAACTTTGTGTATGCGTGTTTTTAAATATACTGTTTGGTTCGCTCCTGACACGATAAATAAATTTCTATTTTTATATTTAATATTCTATTGTAATATTTTAAAAGTACCATCATGTGACCCTTCACTCTTCACCAAATTGGACACGACCAACTCCTTCAACCTTTCCACATATGCTTTGTTTTCTATACCTCTTGGCATGCTTGTTGCCTTTTTTTGAAAATACTCCAAATTACCAATAATAATAATAATAATAATAATAATAATAATAATAATAATAAGGTTGCTGTGAGTTTTCTGGGTTGTATGGCCATGTTCCAGAAGCATTCTCTCCTGACTTTTTGCCCACATCTATGGCAGGCATCGTCGGAGGTTGTGAGGTTTGTTGGCAACTAGGTAGGTGGGGTTTATATATCTGCGTAATATCCAGGGTGGGAGAAAGAACTCTTGTCTGCTTGAGGCAAGTCTGAATGCTGCAATTGATTCCCCTGTTCTTTATTTTCTGTCCTGATTTTAGAGTTTAACGCCCAAACATGAATCAAGGAACATAGAAGGCACTGCAAATTAATTCAAACAGAGAAGTCAGCCATAGCAGAGGACCTGATGAACCAACCTGGACACAGCATATTATTGGAGAACACAAAAATGCTGGACCATTCTAGCAACCACCACGTCACAATACACAGAGAAGCCATTGAAATCCACAAGCATGTGGACAATTTCAACAGAAAGGAGGAAACCACAAAAATGAACAAAATCAGGCTATCAGCATTAAAACACTCTAAAATCAGGATAGTAAATAAATAATGAACAACACTCAGAAACAGGGGAGTTCCAGACAAGAAACTATCAGGGCTAGCTAACACCTTCCAACAAAGGATTCCCCCAGGCAGGAAGCAGCCAAAGCCTTGAATCTGCAAGGCTATTCAATGCTAATAAAGGTGATCAATTGCAGCATTCAGTAATTCCGGCCATGAAAGCCTTCAACAACACATAATAATAATTCTTTTATTTGTTACCCACATCTCCTCATGGCTCAAGGTGGGATACAATATAATTAAAATATGTGGATAAAACAGAAGACTATTAAAATGTATAGGTTAAGAAACACAAAGTAAAGATCAAGATACCAATCCTAATAAAATATAAATTTAAAATTCCTAGTTTAAATTGACCTTACAGTTGGTTGTCCTTATCCATAGATTCATTACAAAAGGCAGACCTTGATTTCGTAATTTTGTATGAGGGGTCATTGTACTATGCCATTGTCGTATAGAAGGCTTTCACAGCTGGAATCACTGGGGTGTTGTATTGTTTCTGGGTTGTATGAACGTGTTCTAGCAGCATTTTCTCCTGACCTTTCACCTGCATCTGTGGCTGGTAGCTTCAGAGGAAGTGTTTTGGAATTGTAATCTGACACATCCAGACAATAGGCTAAAGAAGCCGGATGGAGTAGCATTGGAGTACTGGATAGACAAAGCTTAGGCAAAGCAACTTTCCATGCAGTAATAGAATAGAAATTCTCTTTCACAATGAATAATGGCTGTTTTGATACCACTTCAGTGGCCATAGCTCCGTCATACTGAATCCTAGGATTTGTAGTTTTAAGAGGTCTATAGAATTCTCTGCCAGATAACTTTCAAGTTACACCAAACCTGTAAGATTCTGCAGGATTCAGCCATAATAGTTCAATACAGTAGTATCAAATGGCAATAAATGTGTATTGTGAAAGGAATCTAAGGGACCATCTATGTCAGTGATTCCCAACCTTTTTTTAACCAGGGACCACTTGAATAGGAACCACTTTGACCAGGGACCACTCTCTGACATTAGTACCAAAAGGTACAAAATCGGTTTTTTTGGTCAACTTTACATTCGGTTTATGGAGCCCCCGGTGGCGCAGTGGGTTAAAGCACTGAATTGCTGAGCTTGTTGATCGAAAGGTCGCAGGTTCGATTCCGGGGAGCAGGCGTGAGCTTCCGCTGTCAGCCCTAGCTTCTGCCAACCTAGCAGTTCGAAAACATGCAAATGTGAGTAGATCAATAGGTACCGCTCCGGCGGGAAGGTACCGGCGCTCCATGCAGTCATGCCGGCCACATGACCTTGGAGGTGTCTACGGACAACGCTGGCTCTTCGGCTTAGAAATGGAGATGAGCACCACACCCCAGAGTCAGACATGACTGGACTTAATGTCAGGGGACTACCTTTTACCTTACATTCGGTTTGGTTATTTGGGGTGCTGATTCAGAAAATTGCATTGGCTATGGATAGACCCCATCAGCTCTAGTTTCCAATACAGAACATATGCCATCCAATAGTAACTATCTGCTTGCCCACAGAAAACCATATTTAATAATCTAGAGCTGTTTCGTGGGTAATCAGCCTCTCTCCTCCTGACATCCCCTTTGCCTCAGCACTATAAGAGGGTTTCGTGAGACCAGGCACTCTAGTTGCTGTGTGGTTTTGAGGCAATGGTGTAGTAATGGTGAGGTTGTGGACCATATTGTTGTTCTTGTGGACCAATGGTAGTCCACAGACCACAGGTTGGGAACCACTGCTAATAGGTATTAAAAGCACAAGAGCCCTGCTAAAGCAAAGTGTGACATTCATTGCAATTAGAGTCACAGACAACTCACCCACGTCCAATTTACATCTCTAATGAAGGGAGTGTCTCTCTATCGATACTTAGGAGCACAGCTCTTGGTTATTATTTATTGTAAATATTCCAGAACATTCAAAACATTTTCTGTGTGTGAACCGAAAAGTAACCGTAGTCCATGTCTCATTTCTTGGATCAGATGAATCTGCCCGCAGGGTTAATATCTTTTGTAAATAGGACTGAAATTTAGGAAAAGTGAGGCAGAAGGAGCCGGACAATATTTGCTCTATGTTTTAGACCAGGTGTACGCATTCTTTGAACTTTAGGAGAGGCACTGATTTTTGGATCCTATATTGTTCTGGAAGGTTACAGCACACTGGTGTCATTATGTTAACTCCCAGGGCACATCTATACTTTATCTTTATTATTATTAATTTATTATTATTATTATGTTGTTGTTCATTCGTTCAGTCGTCTCCGACTCTTCGTGACCTCATGGACCAGCCCACGCCAGAGCTCCCTGTCGGCCGTCACCACCCCCAGCTCCTTCAAGGTCAGTCCAGTCACTTCAAGGATGCCATCCATCCATCTTGCCCTTGGTCGGCCCCTCTTCCTTTTACCTTCCACTTTCCCCAGCATAATTGTCTTCTCTAGGCTTTGCTGTCTCCTCATGATGTGGCCAAAGTACTTCAACTTTGTCTCTAGTATCCTTCCTTCCAATGAGCAGTTGGGCTTTATTTCCTGGAGGATGGACTGGTTGGATCTTCTCGCAGTCCAAGGCACTCTCAGAACTTTCCTCCAACACCACAGCTCAAAAGCATCTATCTTCCTTCGCTCAGCCTTCCCTAAGCTCCAGCTCTCACATCCGTAGGTTACTACAGGGAAT